CCAGAGTTTTATTGCTCATCCATGTTTCACTTTACGTGATTACAATTTTAATTAATAGCCGACTCATTCAAGAAGACCATACATAACAATCATACATCAATTCACTTTTAATCTTATTTAGGACAATGGTGATCACATCACAAATTGACCTTTAATTCCATTAAACTTCCAAATTATCCAAATTGTTGAACATAGTCAACTCACCTAGCCATTTCGGCTTAATCCACCTTTACTCAACATACTAACAATTCATGATTGAGTAATAAAATAAAATAAATAACAACCTTGTGGAATAATTAATAAATTCACTCCACTTAAACCATTCAATTTCAATCCTTTAATAATCCAAATGTGGTTAACAAACCGATCCAATAAAATATGCCTGTATCAACATTCCATACAAACAATTAATCCAATATAATTCAACATGTTTGCATACATAATTCCATACAAACATAATCAATTCACCAAAACATGTCTCATAAACATAAGCACATGAATTAATTAAATGTATAACCAAACAATTTTCATCCAAGTGTTCTCTAATCATGAAACTAAGTTCTTTTTTTTTTGGTACCTAAACATGATACTAATTACAACGAAGTAGACATGTACGTACCTCGTATAAAAAATCCTTTGTGCCACTTTTAATCACTTAAAAGTCTCCTAAGAAATAATCACTTCCTAGAAAACAAGCAACAATAATAAATTAATACTTAACCAAATTTCCAGCAATATAATTTAGATTAAAACTCCTTAAAACTTCATTAACAACATGTTTTTATGGTTAATTATGCATTAGAAATACAATAGGAACAAAAGCCCCAATTTAATTAGTCAGAAGAACCCTAAAATCCCAATTTAAATAAATTGAAACCCTAGGTTTTTAAAATTATAAAATCTGAAAATTATAACAACAATTATAATCTGAAATTATTAGTTTAAAACATAAAAACATAATTTTAATACTAAAAATATAAACTTTATACTATAAAATCAAAACCCAAAACTAATCATAAACATTAAGCATAAAAAAAACTTCGTTAAAAATCAAAAACTGCCCGAAAATCATATTTAGAGGCTGAATTTGGCCACGAGAGGGTGGTGCTTACTACCAACGGTAGTACGTCTTTCTTAAAACATTGTTTCCACATGGAAAACACTACTTTTTTGTCAAAATAGGATGAGTTCAGAATCTGATCGGGATTAAAACGGGATTAATATTAACGAACCAAAACCTAAACATTAAAACACGAATTTACGTGTTCAAAATAATCTGGAATTAAGTTAAACTAATTAGTAGTATAATCACCAAAATTTCAAAACATCATTAATATAAAAGCCCTAAATCGATTATTCATAAAAACCCTAAAATCATGATTTTCAATGATTAAAAACCCTAGGTTATTAAATTTACAAAATCTGAAAATTATAACATTTATAAAATCTGAAATTATAAAGTTTAATCATCAAAATAAAATTTGATACTAATTAAATTAATTTCAAACAATAAAATCAAAACTCATAATCAATAATTATAATTACACAAATTAATAAAACAAAGGAGAAAGAAAATAAGACTAACCTTTGTGTGGGGAAATTTTTGGGGATGTATGGGGTATTTATAGGAGAGAGGGTAGTAGGGTAAGTAGGGATATTGGACCTCATTAAATTAATGGGTCAATTAAGAAAGTAAACTGGGTTTGGTTTGTTTGTTGGACATAAATTATAGAAGGAAGGTTCATAAAAAGTTCTTTGTAATAAAATCGTTTATCAACCCCAAAAATAATTTGAAACTTTTGAAATTAAATTCCGGAAAAATACAAATAAATATTATAAATAATATATAATTTCATTTATAATATATTTTAAAATATGGGGGATTACAATACGAGTTTGATAGCATTGAGTATGATGTAGAGCTAATTAGCTCTTCATATCTCGCCCTAGTCCATTCAACTTCATCGAGTTGACTTTCTAGTGTATTGCGCAGAGATTGTATCTCTAGCTCTACAGGTTGTACAACATCCATTCCATAAACCAAGGAAAATGACGTATTTCATGTTGACGTGCGAATTGATGTGCGATAACCCAAAGTGCGAAATGGAGTTTGTCAGGCCAATCCTTGTAATTTTCTGTCATTTTCTCGATGATAGTCTTTAGATTTTTATTAGCTGCTTCAACTGCTCCGTTTGCTTGAGGTCTATAAGGAGAAGAATGATGGTGTTGAATGCCATATTTTTGTAACAATTCTTCACACTCAGCTTGAAAGTGAGTTCCATTGTCACTTATCATTTCATGTGGGACTCCATATCGACAGATAATATTCCTTTCGATAAAGAGTACTACATGTTTTGCAGTGAGTTTAGCATATGATTGTGCTTCGACCCACTTTGTGAAGTAATCAATTGCTACTAGGATGTATTCATGACCTCTGACGTATTGGAACTAGGTCGTTGGACTAATCCTCCCTAAGCCAAACAAAATTTATTAACACTTAACTAACCTAAATACAAGTATAGAGGTAAGTCAAGGGTCGAACCCAAAGGAACGGTAATGTCTAAGTGCTTTCAATTATGTGCCTAAGCTAGGTCGAAGTCTAAGGATAAAAGGTGACACTAACAACTACTTAAACAAGAAACCGAACAAATAAAGTGCTAGGGATTAGGATTCACATATAATAGCAATGAACATAGCAAATTGGGATAGGAAGTTGACTAAGTCGAGTGATGCGAGGGAAAACCAATCATGCAACCAAAAGAGCATATCAAGCTATTTTCCTAGAGGTCTAACTAGCGTCAACTACGATAAACTCTAGCTAGGAACGTCACAAGACACCTCAATCATTAAATGCAAGCCACAAATCAATGGTCCATATCAATGTGAACCTACAATGCAATCTAGTGTGAATAACTAGGGGATCAAGCCTAAATCAAACACACACATGCACATAATCAATCAACCAATTTAATCACATCATCAACTCCATCAATTATTCCCCAATTTACAACAATCCATCACATCATATAAGCTTCACCATCACCCTAGCAAGCAAACTTCTCTAGCAACATCATCAAATCAATAAACAACTATAGAAAACAAGAATAAACACTCAAAGAAGAACAATTACTCTAATCAAAGATCAAGATCAAAATCCAATCAAAACAAATCAAACAAACATGAATATTAAACAAAACAATAAATGAGATAGAGTTTAGAAATTCTCATTGATAATAGAGAAGATCTCCAATACAATTGTCATCATTGAATATTCAATCTCTCAATCACCATTGAAATTCCTCACTTTCTCTCTCTAAAATCTACTCCTAAAACTAGAGAGAGAAGCTCTCAACTAAGCTAAGAATGTGATCAAAATCTAATATGAAAAACTTGTTCTAAACTTGCCCCAAAAATCGGGTTACAAAGATATTTATAGAGGCGAGAAAACACCAAAAATCGAGCAACAAATTCCCAGGGAGGCGCGCCCGCGCCACCCAGTGGTGCGCCCGCGCCAAAGGGTGGTGCACCCGCTCCACCTTGTGGTGCGCCCGCACCCGAGCTCTGCGCGCCCGCGCTTCTATGGGTTTCTTAGAAATTCTCGCGGCTTCGTGCGTTCGCTAAGGTTGCACGACTATGATGATGATGAACACTAGGAGTGGCAGTAGCTAGTGCTCTTGATTAGTGGGTACACCACTTCTTCATGGTAGCACGGCATGAGAGCGCAAGAGCTAAGACTTGGAATTTCCACTTCCTTGCATCTTGAGCTTTCCAATTGCCATGAGCTTGCTCCAAAAGCTTCCTCCACCTTAATAATTCACCAATATCAAGAACCGAACCTCGTACAATACCTACAATCACAGAAATAGATCAAATAAAGGAGAAAATACTAAAAAACCAACGAAATGCACAAAAGCTACAAAATAAGAGTGGAAAGGTAAAACTAAGCAACAAAGCATAAAACTAAGAATTTATTGAGCAAGAAAGCTATGAAAAGAGGATGAAATCAACCTAAATTCTCATCAAATGGGTGCCATTTATGACACCCATCAACCTCCTATTCCTGGAGGAGTAATTTTACCAATAATGTCAATTCCCCATATAGAGAATGGCCATGGTGAAGTGTAGGTGTAGAGTAGAGATGGAGGAACATGTTGTAAATTGGCGTAGATTTGGCATTTAGGGCATCTCTTCACATATTGATGACAATCCCTATTCATGGTAGTCCAATAGTATCCTTCTCGCATTATCTTCTGGATTAGAATTTTGCCATTAACATGGGTTCCACAAATGCCTTCGTGGACTATCCTCATAGCTCTTTGAGCATCATTTTTCCCTACACATAAGAGAGTTCGACCCTTAGGTACCCTTTTATGTAACTCGTTGTCTATGAGTACGTATTGGGAAGCCAAAAGTCTTAATGCTCGTTTTGCTCTTTTGTCGGCATGAGGAGGGTATTCTCCTTTGGTGACATAGTTAAGTATATCTGTGTACCACGGTTCTTCTTCTTCTTCTTCTTCTTCATATTGGATCACTTCATCATCTTCTATAGCTTGAATATAAGCCTGTTTGTGCCTTTTCTCTATAGTTAGAGACATTTGCTCGATTTCCGTAGGAATCCTAACCATTGAGGCTAGTCTTGCCAAGGCATCGGCAAATTGATTTTCCTCTCTAGGTAGATATGTGTATTCTACCTTTTCTAACTAATTGGTGAGAGTTTCCAAATAAGTTTGGTAAGGGGCTAGACTTTTGCTCCTTACTTTCCATCTTTTAGAAATCTGGTTGATGATCAATGAAGAGTCCCCGAATATTCGTAATTTCTTCACTCCCAATGCCAAACACTAGTAGAAAAAATGCTATTTGTAACGCTCTATTTGTAACTGGCATAAGCTATGTTAGTTACTATAAGGGTATTCATAACTGACATTGTTAGTGCGAGTTACAAATAAATTAGCATTAATAACTGACATATCTAAGGTTAGTTACAATAAGTAGTTCAAAAATAGACAGACCAACCATTATTAACGGACATAAAAAGGCTAGTTACAAATAGTAGGTCAAAATTTGTTTTTATTTATTTATTTTTTTTTGATAAGAAAAATACAAAAGTTAGGTAAGTCTTCTCTCAAGACTATACCCTAACTTATCTAAAGAAATAAAATAAGAAAAATTAGCATCTACATTAGGGTCAATGTTTACATAGCCTGAAATTTGATGACCTATAGTTGCAACATAATCTGCTGCACGATTAGCTTCTCGATACACATGGCAAGAAGCAACAACCTCGAAGTGAGCCAACAACTTCTTAACGTCATTCATTAGCAATTGAATTTTCCAAGGACAGCGTGCTTTATCCTGCAAAATATTTATAATTAAAAGGTTATCACCTTCAATAAAAAAATTTCGTATATTATGTTCAATAGCTAAGAGAAGACTGTTACACAGAGCTGTAGCTTCTGCAATAATAGGAGTCGAGGTACCAAGATTATAAGCACGACTAACAACATCATTTCCTGTATAATCTCTAATAACAACTCCGGCTGACCCAAAGTTATTACAAACAGAACCATCAAAATTAATTTTGAAAACACCAGGGGCAGGGGGGGACCAAGCTACTTAGATGGTTTTATGGTAAAGAGGAGAATGGGTCTTGGGAACAATGTCATTACAAGAATCAAGATGAGAACGAATATTCCATTCTGTAAATGTTTTGTAAGCTTTAGAATAAATACTCATAATAGTAGAGGGGATATGAGTAAAAATAAGAGCATTACGACCTTTCCATATACTCCATAAAGAAACAATAATTTTTTTTACAGGAAGGTTAACATTATGACGAATGTCCCAAAAAAGAGTAAGGAGATTCGGGGTATTAACTTGAGTTCCCATCCAATGACTAACGATATCTGCATCCCAGTACTGTCTAATAAATGGACAATTTATAAACAGATGATCCTGTGTTTCAGCATGTGAATTACAAAAGGGGCAAGTATGAGGGACATTAATATTACGGTAAATCAAATTATTTCTAGTTGGAAGACTATTAAGTAGCAGTTGCCAAATAAATATCTTTAGTTTTGGAGCAATATCAAGTTTCCAAATCCAAGAAAATTCCCATTTTGCAGGAGAATTAAAGTTATGAGCTAACCAGGTTGCTGACTTTACCGTAAACTCTCCATTACCAGAAAAACCCCAACAGGGTTCATCAAAAGTATCATTAATTGGCAAAGGAATACCTTTAATGGTCTGAACTATGTAAGGAGGTACCACTAAAGATAGAGCTGCAATATCCCAAGAATGATCTTCAGTAATAAAGTGATTAACTGTAAGGTCAAGATTTTGAATATCAGAAATATTTAAATCTAATAAAGTAATTAAATTCGTAGAAGAACACCAATTATCTAGCCAAAAAAGAATATTAGAGCCCAAACCAACTTTCCATCTCAGCCCCTTAAGAAGAAGAGGGCGAACTTGTAAAATTTTTCTCCAAATCCAGGAGTCCTTAGCGTGGGGTTTACATTAAAAAAAAGAGCTATGTTTTAAATATTTAGCCCGAATACTACGAACCCATAAATTATTATGATCCGAGATTATTTTCCAACCTAATTTGGCAAGGAGAGCAGAGTTGATTGCTTCTGTTTTCCTTAAACCTAAACCTCCTTGACTTTTGGGTTGACAAATTTTGTCCCAAGAAATCATGGGGAGGCCATTCTTATCCGGAGATTGTTTCCAAAAGAAATTACGGTTAATTTGATCCAAAGATTTAGTGATTGTTTTAGGAAGACACGCAGTAGTCATAGCATAAGAAGGAAGAGCTTCCAAATGACTTTGAATTAAAACAGTTTTACCTGCCTTAGAAACTGAGTTGACAGACCAGTTATTCAATTTGTTTTCTGCTTTTGCTAAAAGGTGATGAAAATTCTGCTTAGTAAAAGACGATGAATTAAAAAGGACCCCTAAATAACGACCAAGGAATGATTTAGGAGTCATATTGAAATAACTTGCTAAATTAACTTTTCTAGAGTTATTTACTAGCTTTGAAAAGACGATAGATGACTTAATGGAAATTGATCAATTGGCCGGACATTAAAGAAAATTCATTAAGGATATCCCTAAGAGTAGCACAAACTCTAGATTTGGCCTGACAAAATAATAAACTATCGTCTGCAAACAGTAAACAAGGGATGATCGGAGCAGATGGGGTAACTTTGAGACCAATGCCAGAAGATTTATCTAATGATTGATGAAGTAATTTTCGAGCAATAACTTCCATACAAATAACAAAGAGAACTGGGGACAAAGGATCCCCCTGACGTAGGCCTCGAGTAGGAGTGATTAGTTCTGTAGAGTTGTTATTTAGAGAAATCGAGTAAGAAACCATAGTAACACAAGACTTAATCCATGTAATCAAAGTTTCATTAAAACCAAAAGCTTTTAAAGTAGCCCATAGGAAATCCCATTCAACCCGATCATAGGCTTTTTCCATATCTAATTTCAAGGCTAACCATCCTGACTTATTTTTGGACTTATTAAACATATTTAAGATTTCTTGGACTAACAAAACGTTATCTTGGATTGCTCTTTCCGGGGCAAAAGCATTTTGATATGGTCCTATAACTTTCTTTAAGAATGGTTTAATTCTATTTACTAGAAGTTTAACTATTGCTTTATAAATTGTAGTACAAAGACTAATAGGGCGAAATTGATGTGCCTTATTTGGATTGTCGGTTTTTGGAATTAGAGTAATAATCATATGATTAAGTTGTCTTAATAAAATACCATTATGAAAAAACCTTTTATTGCTTTACAAATATCCATTCCAATGATAGGCCAATAATATTGGAAAAATTTAGGCCCAAAACCATCTGAATCCGGAGCTTTATACGGAGACATATCGAAGACGACTTGTTTGATTTCTTCATCTAAAAAAGGTTGTGTCAAGGTTAGATTGTATTCACTAGTAATACATGGTTGTATCCAAGGAATGGAAATATTACGAGAGCATGTATGATCTGAGTTGAATCTATTTGAAAATTCCTTAAAAAATAAACGAGTAATATCTACTGGGTCCTCAACCCATTGATCAAGTTCCTTACATAGCCTGAAAATTTGAGTTTTTCTTTTTCTTATTTTCATTGTTTCGTGAAAAAATCTTGTATTTCGATCACCTTGTGTTAACCAATTTTTTCTAGCATATTTACCCCAGTATTTTTGGCCAAAAAGGAGTAGTTTTTCACGTTGTTTAATTAGACGATTTAGATGTTGTTCAATATGATGATTTCCGGGAAATTGTTGAAGTTGTAGTTCCACATTTTGTAATTTTTCTTGGTTAATAGTCAATTTATTTTTAATGTTCCCATACTTATGGAAATTCCAATGTTTTAAATCAATTTTTAGCCGTGATTATTTCTGCATAATACAGTAAAAACGAGATCCTGAATATTTTTGTTTCCAATTCTTAATAGTCAAATTCTTGGCCTCAGGGTCCAATGTCCAAGCATTTTTGAAACGAAAAGAAGATAGCTGATGTGTACTAGAATTGTCCACATATAGGCAAATAGGGCTATGATCTGAACAAGAGAAATATTCGTAAGATAAAGTTGCATACGGGTAATTTTGTAACCACGAAGTACTTACTAAACATCTATCTAAAAGTTCATAGATAATATGATTATTTATTTGTTTTTTCCATGAGAAGGCTATTCCTCTAGGAGAAATATCTATTGCATTATGTAAGTGAGCAAAACGTTGTAATTTCAAACATCGATTTAAGGTAGGAAAAGAACCTCCTCTTTTATCAGCCATACATAATAATTCATTAAAATCTCCGATAATACACCAAGGGAAAGAACAATTATTACGAATTAGTGAGCTAAAATTGTTCCAAAATTCCAATTTTTCCCCTTCTTGATCAGGGGCATAAAGACCAAAAAGAGAAAAGCATGTATTAGTCTTTTTATCTGTCACAAACAAATGTGCAATCCTGTGTTGAAGAGATACAATTTGAACATCAATGTGAGATTGATTCCAACAAATCCACATACCACCGCAATGGCCAATAGGATCTACAAATTTGACATTTTCATAGCCTAAAGTTTTAGACAATCGATTGCTAGTAAAATAGAAAGTGAGACCATTGTTTCAATTACAAATAAAATGTCAGGATTTATTTTTTTCCGCAAATAAATCAATTCACTGATGGCTTGGGATCTTTTAGCGCCCCTTATATTCAAAATTATAATCTTCATTCTATCAATTTTGTAAGAGAAGGCCATACATACAAACCAAATATTCTGGAAAAAATAATTGTACAGAAGCTTGTATGCAAAATAATTCTCATCGGAATAATAGTAGGACAATAATTGAGCATCAAATTTAGATAGATTTTCGGGGACAATAATTGTCCGAGCAAGCATCGAACGATGCGGGCAAGGCATATTGCCATTCCCAATAGAGTAGGATTAGCGTAATACTCACTTTTTATGATGACAATAGTAGTATAAATATGTATGTGACAAAGGTATACCATTAATACACAATTCATATGAAAGATAAATAATTTCTGAGTAGAATGCAAGAATAGCACTATAATGAGATTACTAGATACAACCATAAGATTTGACATCTTAATAAACTGATCAAAGAGAACTTCATATGCAATAATGTGCAAGAAGTATGTAAAGTTATCATAAAAACATAGACTTAAAGAAAAACCACCACAAAGATATAAGCTAGTATAAAGTACAACAAAGAAATATGGAGTATAAAAATAGCCCAAAGGATAAAATCTAAAGAAATATGTCAAATTTATAAACCAAAGCCAATATGTACAAGAAATACACAAAAAGCTACTTAGATCATAAGATAGCATCTTAGTACAGTTTATGGAATTCCCTAAAAGAAACATGATTACATGTACTACAAAGGGACCATAAACTACAAAAACAATTCCCTGCAAGCAAAAGTTACAGCATACGAAGAATTCCATAGAGGAGGATGACGGGATAGTGGTAGAGGGGTTATTTCCAAAATCATTACCAAGGACAGGAAGAATTCCACTCTCTGGTAATTTGGAGCCAATAGTGTGACTGGAAGACAAAAATCTCATGACACGATCGACATAGGTGGATTGAGAGCTAGGGATTGATGACAATAAGTAATTGAAAATTGAGTAAGAAAAAAGGCCAGAAGAAGATGATATGAACAAGCACATATCTAAAATATATATATTACTCCATAAAGAAATAGCATAAACAGAGAAAAACCATAAGACACAAGTCAACAAATTAATTACTGTAAACATGCAACTAGATCTGCAATTGACACGGAGCAAATTATATGACTCCTCCCTTAAAATAATCTGATAGCTTGACACATAGCTTATTAATAGGCGGTAATTACTGATCAAAAAGGTAATTGAAAACCAAAATAAAATTAGAAGAGGGTATAGAAAACTTACCTGGAAATCAGCGAAGTTGTGTCGGTGAGATTGCGATTCAAGGTGCCATCTGTGAGATTTGAGAACTTCTTTCTGTAGGAATTGAAGAGTTGCTAGTTGATTAAGGGGAAAGGACAAAAAATTAGGCAAATTAATTTGAGGAAATGAAATTAGGCAAAGAAGAATTGTTTGTGAAGAAGGAAGGATGAAGAAATTAGGGGGACCTTTGTGACTTGAGAGCTTATCTCTCATACTTTCTCTCTCTAGAGTTTTCTTTTTTATAGGTCAAAATTTGTTGACTTTATTAATTGCAATGGACTTTATAAGGTTAGTTACAAATGCTATCGAACATAACTGCATAACTGCACAACACTTACTTGTGTTATTTTTCTATTTTTTAAAGAAACTACTCCTACTCTTCCTCGGTTCCTCCGAATCAAACCTGCCCCAATTTTTCTACGGCGTCATACCTTCAATAATTTTTCGCTGTCCTCTCAAACTCCTCTAAAATTCATCCAAAACTCAATCATCGAAGAGTATAATCAAGGTAAGCTCTCTTTCTCCACCTAATTTATCTATTTTAATCAATTTTGACCGATTATTTGAAAAAAGAAATAAGATAAAAATTAAAATTAATAGGGTTTGTGCTTTTGTTGTCCATTTAATTTAATGGAAGTTTAGGGGTTTAATTATTTGCTAGTTTCAAACTTGGGTTTCATAGTAAATTGCGATTAAGGAACATCTACTTTTGAGCAGCTGGGTGGCGAGAGTTTCGAGCGCAATAGAGAGCAATTAGGGCTTGTAATTCCTCATCATCATCCGGCAAGTGGGACTATTCCGAAACGCATGTCTGCAAAAGGAGAGCGCGCAGGTTGCTGCTGGGTGGCCTATTTGGCTTGCTGCCATTGTAGGGGAGGCTATTGTAGGGTGGTTGTCGCGGGGTGATTCCTCTCAGATGTCAAATAAGGTATGCCGTTCAGTGTACCCCTTGTAATTATGATTTGTTTTGGAGATTGAATAATATAGAAACAAAGTCAAAGCTAAGAATGCTTTAGAAAAATATCTTCTAAAATGTAGCTGGCATTGGGAGTAGATTGTCTGCAATGGAACTAGTACGGGTACTCTGTATTCCTTTGTTCTAAATGAAAGTATATGTTATCTAAGTAATTGCTTTTCTTGCCTAACTATCGACAACTAGATTTTTTAGTAAAGTGTAAGATGAAATGTCAGACGTATCTAGGTGGTAATGTTATGATCTAATGGATACTTTATATTGGTATGGTTTAACTTTTTAAACGAAAATGGTGCTTAGAAATTGATTGGGTTGGTCAAATTAGATGCAGCTATCATGTGATAGGCTTGCAGCAATGAATAATATTGTAAAACTTGTTATAAATGTTGATGTTTTATATGACATAATCTTGTATCATGTGATAGTCACAAATGTTTTAATTGATGTTTTATATGACATAATCTTATAAACAGGAGTTTATATAAATGAATTAGTCTGACTGGCCGTGCTAAATTAGACACCAAGGAGGAAAGATTCCTCATGATTGTATTTTGAAAAACATTCGTCCAATATGTCATAAGCAGTCTCTATAAAAACCATATAAATACACATTGTTACTTACAAATGAATAGCAGTAGATTAATGGTTATTCTATGCTAATGAAATCTTGCTTATGATGCATGCAATATATCTTTCTTTTTATGTGCGTGTGAAGAATTTGACTGGTATTAAAGGTTAGTCTGTGGCTAAATTTCATAAAAAATGAGAAGTAGCTGAGAAAATTGTGGTAAGTTATCTGCAATTTGATTTCTCAATTAGTCGATCTATATATCAAATTGGTTTCAAAGCTAATCAAATTACATAATATTAATGCTATTGCTTGGTTGGTAGTTTGTCTTAAGAACATACAATAATTGCTAAATGATACTTGCTTTTTTGGGAAGCATGTAAATTGTATGTTTATTATGTGTGAGATCCTTTGCAAAAACTTTGATCATATTTGATATGTGTTTATGTTGCTAGTAATTGAATAAGCCTCACTAAATCAATATGTTGTGAAAGATAATGGGATGATTTTAAATCTGTATCCAACTCTACAAGTGCTATATGATTTTTGCTTCTTGTCAAGCAATGGCCTTTGTGAAGGTTGCACAGCGTGTTGTTGAGTTGAGTTGCGGGCGACAAATTGATTACAGTACATCACATGATTTATGGTTGATTCTTCTGGTTGGTTATTTATACATATAAACATATAATCGCTTTGTGCTTAATCAAATGACTAAAACATTAAACCTCTTATTGTCCAAACTAATGGACCTAATCAAATGTTTATGAATTTGCATCATAAGGAGATGTTTTCTTTATCTCCTTAATTTATGGGGTTTGTTTAGGGTGAATAAGTTAGAATCTTACTATCTTCCTTTAGTTTTTAATTTTTATGTTGATAGGTCAACATGAAGATTAACATTAGCTGAATTCAAAATTGAAAATTACAAGTGAATTTGGAGTTGAATTTTAGAAATGAATTCAGAGCTGAATTGCACAACTGGAATCAGAGCTAAATTTCAAAACTGAATTCAGAGCTTAATCTCATAACTGAATTCAAAGCTGAAATTCAAAACTGAATCGAGAACTAAAAATCAGAACCGAATTCATAACTTGCTCTTATGAAGTTACACCCTTCAGCATTAAGTAGGACTCAAAACCAGCTTGTCATGTTTGTTGAGTCTTTTTAAGATGACAAATAATACCCATGAAGTCTGCGTGGAGTATAATAGTGATCGTAATCCATTCTCAACTCCCAAAATAGAAGCCCCTGTACTGTCAATACCTCATCTCTGATAACTGATCATATGGGGTTTGTAGTGCTGTACTATTGTCTCAGACCTCAGCGTATATCAGTTCATAAAAGAGTGAGCCATGCAAACTTCATAGGGACCTACTAGGTTGCATATGATAACTTCCACTACTTGTTCAATTATGAAAACTTGAAAGGATTAGCTGGAGTTAAGTTAGAAAAATGTTTAAAAGACTCCTCCCACCTAGTGTACTGGTTGTAGCCTTAGTTTAAACTCTAATTATGGATTTCTGAGATTCGCTTTGGCATTTTTTTTTTCTGGTTTTCATGTGTGTTTCACTATGTTTTTTTTCCATTGTAATAGACTTTGCAACTTAAATTTCATGTCCTAGACAATCTGACATATACTAATCTTCAGCATCTTGACCATTGTTTGCTAATCTAATAGTGCTCTGTTGTTTTGTGCATGAAATTTTCCCTTAGTTGCTTGTTTATAATGTACTTGTTATTGTTGTGGTTAAAAAATAAGAGAAATGGCTGGTTATAATTTGGTAGGCATTGCAGCAGCTGTAAAATCTTATTTTTTCTGCTTTCATACCACACCATAACTGGTTATTATTTGCAAGTAAATGATGCTCAACCTTCCCCATTTTCCTCAACCAATCCAATGGAGCTGAGTCCTCGTTTGTTAGTGGTAAGCCTTCCATTTGACTGAGTAATTGAACTCTTAATTATTATCACATGAGCTGAATTTCAAAATTGAATGCAGAATTGAAAATCAGAACTGAAATCAAACCTGAATTTCAGAACTGAAAATCATAACTGAAATCAGAATTGAATTTCAGAAATGAATTCAGAGCTGAATTTCAGAACCGAATTCAGAAAATTGAAAATCATAACTGAAATCAGAATTGAATTTCAGATATGCCCCTAAATATTTTAAGGCTTAGGGGCCTTTGTCATTGAATTTTTCTACTTTCTTTTTGTTTCCTTATATACCAAAGATTAATTTATGTAAAGTATGACTGCTTTTGAGTGAATTCTGTAACACCTAGGCTTAGTAAGATTTTTTCTCCCTCACTTGTTTCTTGCTTGGTTTTGTTTCATAATCTCACTGAATTCAGAGCAATGTTTTAAAAAAAATGTCTATTGTGGAGTGGATACATGACATACATATGGATTTCATGGATTCGCCATAGAATGAATTATGGTTGACTGTTAAAGTTCAAATCATTTCTTTTTCAATATGTTCTGAAGTTGTAGCTGTAGTGTTGTACTTTTGAGTATTTGCCAAACAAACTTCCAGTTGAGAACCTAGAGCTTAAGTTGTTGGAAAGTATTTCTTTTTTCCTTGGCATTTCTTTCTTATTTATCATAATGAGCATGTTATGACATATTTGACTCCTTAAATTTATCTTTCTGGTTTTCATGTGCATTTATATATATATATATTAAGAAGTATTTCTTTCTTATATATTTAGCAGATCTTAAGATGTGCACATATATACAAATATTATTGTATATATATTATTGTAATAGACTTTGCAACGTAAGTTTCATTGGCCTCTGTAGGTCCCAACTAAATGTCGTCTTGCTTTGATTGATGAGTTCGGCGGGAACTCAATGATTGTGGCTGATGGAACGGCAGAACCTTGTCCTAGTGGAGTGACTCATAACAAGAAAATGAACTTATCTCTTTTTTGCAAGCTAAAATGCTTCATACGAGTTTTGGTTGATGTTTTATTTTTATAAAGTATAATAGACACGTATTTTTTTTTTTATATTTGCAGGAGTATTTGGCAAAACTTGCAGCCTACAACGATGTAGAATTGGATGAGATTCGAGAACAATGGGCTAAGTTATTTAGACTTAATTTTTTGTTGAAAGACTAGTTATCTTATTAATCGATGTTATGATTAATCACGTTTAGTTTAATAAAATAATATAACAAATTTCTATAAATATACTTTTATTTAGCCTATTGGTTATTGTTGATACATTTCTAAATTATAAATCAATGATTTTTTATTCAAGTTTTAATTGGATTTTTTTGGAAAATATAGTTTATTTTGTTGTATTGTATTGTTGTGGATCTGGAATTATTTGGAGTGTTTGTATTGTATGTTGTGGGTGAATTTAAGTTATATGAAAGTACTCGGAGTACGTGTTTTATTGGTTTAATTGTAATAGGTTGTAACCCATTTGACGATGGTTGGTTTGGTAGGATATACTACCATTCTTGTATTTGAATCAAACATTTATAAAAAAAATATTTATTTATTAGTAACTGGCGTAATCTAATGCTAGTTACTAATAGTATTTTTTTTAAAAAAAAATATATATATTCGTAACCGGTGTTAAGATTTTCCAATTACTAATAATACCCTTATTGTAACCGGCGTAACTTAATGCCAGTTACAAATAGTATGCTTTCTAACTTGGAAATAGACTTTTTGTAACTGACGTTAGGTTAAGCCAGTTACAAATAGTACACTATTTACAACCAACATTAGCCAGTTACTAATAATTTTCACTAGTTGTAACGGTGGCATTCGCAACCAACAATGCCAGTTACAAAAAGTCAATTTCGCCAGTTACAAATAGCATTTTTTCTACTAGTGAAAGCTGTTTCAAGGCTTACCACGCATGCTTCGTATTCAGCAGCGTTGTTGGTAACGTCGAAATCTAGTTTTATGGAGATTGGAACGTGCTCTTCCTTAGGAGATACTAATAATACTCTAACGCCACATCCCTTTTGGTTTGAAGCTCCATCGAAGTATAAGGTCCAAGTATCATCTTCCGTGACCATCAATTCTTCGTCTGGAAATTCATTGTCGTGTATTGGCGTCGAATCTTCTATTGGAAAATCTGCTAGGAAATCTGAGACCACAGATCCTTTGATAGCTTTTTAAGGCATGAATCTTACGTCGAACTGGGCTAAGTTTACTATCCATCTTGATAAGGGCCCATTGAGTGTAGACTTCTCGAATAAATACTTAAGTGGATCCATCCGGAAAACTACAAAGACTGTACGCACGAGCATGTAATGTCTTAACTTAGTTGTGGCCCACACCAATGCGAGGCACAATTTCTCAAGCGGTGTATATCGTACCTCATACTCGAGCATTTTTTTGCTTAGATAGTAGATTGCATTTTCTTTACCTTCTACTTCTTGTGCAAGCATGACTCCCATTGTCTCCTTAGTGACCATTAGGTACAACCTAAGAGGTATTCCTGGAAGTGCTGGTGCTAATACGGGAGGATTTGCGAGATAGGCTTTGATCTTTTCAAAGGATTTTTGACACTCATCGTCCCATATTACTGGTACATTCTTTTTGACCTTTTTGAATGTTGGTTCACATATTGTTGTTAATTTGGATATGAACCTACTTATATATTGCAACCGGCCAATAAATCCCCGAATTTGCTTCTTGGTTTTGGGCGGTTGCATTGACATGATTGCCTTGATCTTGGTTAGGTCTATCTCTATTCCTCTAGAGCTTATGACATAACCCAAAAGCTTGCCTGAGGTGACTCCAAAAGCACACTTGGATGGATTCAGCCTTATGTTGTATTTTCTTAGCCTTTTAAAGAATTTTCTCAAGGCTACTTGATGGCCTGGGCGATCTTTTGCCTTCACAATCATATCGTCCACATATACTTCAACTTCTTTGTGCATCATGTCATGGAGTAGTCGCTGCTCGTTGGTAAGTAGCACCCGCGTTTTTCAACCCGAATGACATTACCGTGTAACAGTAAGTACCCCATGGTGTTATGAAGGTTGTTTTCTCCATGTCTTCTACTGCCATGAGAATCTGATTGTATCCTGCGTATCCATCCATGAACGAGAGAAGTGCGTGATTTGCTGTATTATCTACCAAAATATCGATGTGTGGTAAAGGGAAGTCGTCCTTTGGACTTGCCTTATTTAAGTCTCGATAGTCGACACACATTCTTACCCTTCCATCCTTCTTCGGAATTGGGACGACGTTGGCCACTCATTCGGGGTATTTCGATACCCTGATAAAACTTGCAGTTATTTGTTTTTGAACTTCTTCTTTTATTTTAAGAGCTACGTCGGGTTTCATTCGACGCAACTTTTGTTTTACAGGTTTCATTCCTTGAATTAGTGGTATAATGTCTATTTCTCTATTAATACCTGGCATATCTTCATATGACCAAGAAAATACATTGATAAATTCTTTAAGTAGATTAATTAAATCGGTTCTTTCTTGTTCATTAAGTGTTAATCCGATTTTAACCCCTCTTTTAATGGTTGAATCATTTGAGATATCAACCGTCTCAGTTTCCTCAATTATCGGTGTTTTCTTTTCAAGTGTTTCCATTGCTTTAATAATTTCTTTGTCATTTTCATTGTTAGTTAAGCAATGCTCGTCATCTTAGGTCAAAGAGAAACACGAGGAGTAAGTAGAAGTAGACATATTATTGAATTCGGAAATCATTACAACAAAAAGGGAGATGTCCTCAGGGACTTGATCACTAACTATCCTAGGGGAAGAAATAGAAGAAGAAGAAGGGGGTGCTACAACTAAGGACTTGGATGAATCTACAGGAAAAGACTCTGACTCTAACTCTGTCTCAGACGACTCTTCAAACATCGGTCCTTGCCCTGTCGTTATGGAGATTTTCCTTCCACTTGGAGTAGTCACCTTGGCTGTCTTGCGCCACCCTAGTACTGATCCTTCTGTTGGAGTGATGAGCTTTGAGGGGTCAAAGTTCTCGCTTTGTAGGACCGTTTGGATGAGCGAGGAGTTATCCTCTATATATCTCGGCTCATCTTTTTCTCGCCCAAATAATAATCCCATGACATTAAAGTCAAAGCATGGGGGTGCTTTCTCCTTGTGGATAGGAGTTGAGATTTCATCTAGAAAGTAGCAATCGAAGAAAATTTAGAATCGCGGTTTCCTTATGCCATTTACAACAAAAGGTTTGGGAAATTCATAACATGGATAGTCCTCTCCTTCTTTTATGAATTGTCCATTGAGAGTAAGAGGATACTTATCCATTAGGATTGCTTTCTTTTGGATGCGAGCGTTCCTATGCGCCTTAGAACTTTCCTGGGCTCGCTTAAAATCTTCCCGAGTTGGTTCGAAACCAAGTCTGAAAGTATCTAGCTTAGGGAGGCCAGGTAATTCCAGCTGTTTTGCTATTCCCTTCTTCTTTCCTAGAGTAATTCCAGGAAAATGCCCTTGTTTCTTAAGAATAGCATTTATTGTGGTCGTGACAGAGAGGGGTCCTTTCATCCTCCTCGATTAAGGAGACCTCTTCATTAAAGCCCCACATATCTTCATCGTCTTCATCGTGCTCCACATTAATGATTGGATTTTCTATAGCTTTAATCCTCATGGGTGAAGCATCGATCGTGATAGGAATTCCTCCAACTATGGCTTTTACCTGTTGGTGGAGAGATGAAAGGACGACCTTTAGGTCATGAAGCCAAGGGCGTCCCAACAATAAGTTGAATGAAGCTTTGATATCTACTACTTGAAATGTAGCAGCATGTTCTATTGCTCCCGCCGTTATATTCATGGTAATCTTACCAAGAGCTTGACGACGAGTGTTGTCATAAGCTCTTATTCCTTGGGTTGACGGGGTTAAATCTTCATCCCTTATGCCTAGCATCCTCGCAGTTCTGAGTGAACAGACATTAATTGTCGATCCATTATCTACAAGAGTCATTGGGACATTCATTCTCTTGCAAACTACTGTGAGGTTTAGTGCCTTATAATGCTTGTCACCTTCTGGAGGTAAATCTTTGTCAGAAAAGGTGATTAATTTGATAGGACTAGGGAGATCACTCGTAAGGAAGTTAGCCAACCCCTCATGAGTGGTGTCAGAATCTATCCCAATCTTATCCAAGGCATTCATCACTACCAACCTATGTTCTCGTGATGTAGCTAAAAGCTTCCATACATTCATCTCGACCTTGGTCTTCTTGAATTGCTTGACAATATCATTGTCTTCTATGATAGGTATGGGAACTTGTTGTGTAGTCGGCATAGATTGTGTTAAGACGGGAGGTTGCATTCTCCCTAACCTTGTGAGGACGTCTATAGATAAATCCTCTTCAACCCAGAAATCATCTATTGAATATGACACTGAAAGTGGAGGTCCTTCCATGTCTTTTAGGTAGATGTCTTCTTCATCACTGTCCCAAACCCCATTGATGCTTATGTCTTCTTCTCGTGGGATTTGGACTAGCTTCTTATCATCAATCATTTTCTAATTTAAATCTTTAAATTTAAAACAGTTTTCAATGGTGTGTCCTCCTGATTGATGGTATTGACATTAGAATCTATCTATCATTTTTTAGCAATTCAAATGGTCTCGGCTCGAGAGGTTTGACCTTACCACTCTCAGAGAGCATTTTGAACATCTTGGCATATGAAGTCCCAATTGGAGTATAGAGTCTATTACTCTTCTTGGGTCCGTCAGTTACTTGTAGAGAGAAGGTTTTCTTTTTTGTGGGTGGAATTTTATCAACCTTTTTCTGAAGCTCCTCTGCTTGTTTCTTTGCGAATTCGAGAGCTTCACGTAGTAAATTTGTTCCTTCCCACATGGACCATATAAGCATCCGTACATCTTCCTTGCTTGCTGGTTCAGGAAAATCATCCATGGCATCGAAAAAGATCTCCTCTTTTTCTTCGATAGCATGGGTTTCTTTAATAGGCTTGATGAGAGATGAGGGATCAACCTCGTTTTCCTCATCAGAGATGGCCAAGGAATGAGCGAGAGGTGTATTGTCATTGCTTGGCTTCTTACTGGCAGGGGGCAATGGCAGTTTATTTTTATCAATTAAATCTTGGATAGCTTCCTTAAGCGTCCAACTATTTTCAGTAAGATGGCCCCTACCTTGGTGATATTTGCAGTGTGCATTGGGGTTCCAATTAGTTGTCCTCTTCTCAACTGGTGGGTCCGTAAATGGTCCAATAGGAGTTATAAGACCTTTTGCATTTAATCGGTCAAATGCGGTGTCATAACTCATACCTATAGGAGAAAAGTTCCTCCTAAATGGTTTC